AACATGGATGTGAGTGAGGGGTGTATTTTGAACCATGAGAATGAGGGTCAATCCCTCAGCTAGGTGAAGTACAGAACTAGAGGGAACATTGATCCTTGATGACTTTGGGGAGACTCCATACCATCCTTATGTGTATTCTGTCTTCTTTAAGCCACTTTTTATTTTGAGGCTTTTGTTATTCATAGCTGAATATATTTTATCATCACTTTCATAGTACAGCCTTCCCTAATCTTCCAGAGAGAACATTCTATTTATTCTTTACAGTGCTTATACTACTAAACGATTGATTATCTGTGTGATTTTTTTTAGGGGAGGCATATCAATAGGAGAGATTGCTTTGTTCCACAAACACCCTCTTAGAACTCCCCACTGCCATGCACAGTGATCCAATGGGTTTAAACTGAAACACCTGCAACTCTTTCAGAATAGCTTGGTTAGCTGCCTGTCCCAAAACAGTCCATGTGCAGGGCAGACCAGGAAAGGATAGATGGTTAGCACCCCAGAGAAACAGCCTTTGGCCAAGGACTGACAGGAGGTGAGTGTCCATTTACCTTGCCTCTCGATTGTGATAACTTTGAGATGTGTTCTATAGTGTCGTGGACAGTTCTCCAGCACGATTTAACCTGAGTCAATGGCAGAGGTAGCCTGCTAGATGATGTACCATGTACTGACTTCTTTCCATTCCCTATATCAATTCCACAGACACCTACTTCCCAGAATCGTCACTCAAATAAGCCATTTACACTCAAATATTTGAATTATAAAAGGTTTGCTTCTGGGGAACTCAACCTAAACCAATATATTTCTCCTCTATTAGTCCCATTGCTGCTGAGAATGCGTGCATGCTAAGTAGCTTCAGTTGTGTCTGACTCTTTGCGACCATATGGACTGTAGCCTGCCAGGCTTCTCTGTCCATGGAATTCTCCAGGCAAGAATACTGGAGTGGGTTGCCATTTCCTCCTCCAGGGGATCTTCTCAACCCAGGCTCAAACCTGGCTCTCCTGAGCCTCCTGCATTGCAGGCACGTTCTTTACCACTGGATCCACCTGGGAACCCCAGTACTGAGAATGTGTTTGTCTTATTCCCCATTCTATCTCCATTACTTAGTAATAGTAGGAGGTCAGCACTCAAAAAGTGATGAAGAATATCAGCTCACTTTTCCCCTCTGACATGTCTAGAGTTAACCCTCTGTGACTAGTTCTATGAGATATAAATAGGAAGTTTATCCTACCTCCTTCAGGATGGGCTGCACACTTATTCAGTACTTCTCTGAAGATAATGCTGTCCTTGTGGCAATCATGCTTCGTTGACTTTTAAATTACATCAGTACAAACTATAAGAAATTATAGCATACATCCTTTAATTATGTAATATGTAATATCTTGGATATTACTAAGATCTTCCAATGGACATCAACCTTTAGCTGTTCTTCATTGCTGACCTTCTAAATTTGTCTTCTTTCCCAATCTATTCTATGGTGTTTTTGAAACCCATAACAGCTTATAAAACCATAACTATTATGCACGGTGGTTAGCCATTGCACTTTAAAGTCAAATGCCTCCCACTTCAAATCCCAGCTCTGCCAGATTAAGTAGGTGACCTTAGGAAAGCTACGCAGTTTCTATTAAGTCTTTTCCTGGGTAAAATGAGGATGATAGTACCTATGTCTGTGGGTCAGGAAGATCCCCTGAAGTAGGGAATACTGGAACCCACTCCAATATTCTTGCCTGGAAAATTCCATGGGTGGAGGAGTCTGGCAGGCTACAGTCTCTGGGGCCTTAAAGTGTCAGATATGACTGAGTAACTGAGCACCCTCGCGTATACACACTGTACCTACGACACAGGGTTATTTTTTAGATTTAACAATGTATTATAATAAATGACTCTAATTGTGTTGAGGAAAATACAATATTATTGAAAGGATATAGTTAAAGACATTGACTATTCGCCCCCAGGTAACCTGTCTCTCTGGAAAGTTACTGAACCTTTTCAAGTTATTTAGAAAACCATTCGGAACTCGTACTAAGATTGTTTCCCATATATTATTGCCCAAAGATCTCACTTCTTTTGTGAGGCACTCCCCTAGGATGGCTTATATTGTGAGGGGTTCCTATTTAGACCCCCTACACCCCTCCCATTGTACACACACCTGTTCCTACCTCGTATACAAGTTAGTAGAGCTGAGTTGTAATACTGCATTTCACCAGAAGTGGCCGCTGTGGTGACATTGTACTACATAGTAAGGTATTTCACAACTGAAGTTCTAAAGCCAATGCCCAAGGAATCAATTTTATAAATTGAAAACAGGTTTATTGTGTTTATTTGGACAGATGCCTTGCCGCATGGCTTTTGCCACATTCCACCAGAGAGGAGAAGATTTGAGAATACTTAACCATCCAGGTTAAGGACAGGACTCAGAAGAAGGTATTCCTCCAACAGCAGCAGACTGTGTTGTGTTTCCTCTTAGTTGCTGTGACAATCAGTTGCAAACCAATTACAATCTGGTGTTTATAAACAGCTAGAAGATTCCCTTGGAGGGAGTAATTATATTCCTTTTAACAAATTATAAGGCAAACAGTTCTCTTAAACATACTGTGTGCTGAGTGCAAAGATTAACTTTCTGTTCTTAAAGGAAAGTCCTCAGAATCAAGGCAAGGGGTCCTAATGGGACAGAAACATTAGGAGGCCAACAAAGGGGCAGAGAACATAAAATGCCATGGAGTGTCATCCATCAGGGAAGAACTCATTTGGTCCATCCAAATGAGCGTGCATGGTGAGAAGCTAAGGGCATCCATTTGGAGCTGGTTATGTATCCCACCACAGTCACTGTGTTCCTTTGGGCAGGATAAGTCACCATGTTAAGACTTCTTTTCTCTTCTGTAAAGTGGGAATAATGATGCTTACCTCATAAGGTTTATTCTGCAAATAAAATTACAAAAGATACATAAAGGGTCTTGAAGAGTAGATACCCACAAATCAAGACCACACCTTGAAGATGTTATCAATGCCCATAGCCCCTTTGAACTCACCATTCCCTGACTAAGATAACAGCTTCCTATGGAGAGCATCCTGCCTGGAGCATCTCAGCATGGGTACCAGGGGCAGGCTGAAAGCACCAGGGAGTTAACACTTCCAGGACAGCCCTTGGAGGATCAGCTGAAAGCTTAGTTTAAAGCATCCGTGTCCTTCCAGCTTGGATGAGACAGCGCTGAGCTTATCCCACACTGTCTCTGGGCTTGGGCCCCATGCGTCCCTGTGGTCACACTCCTTGCATTGGCTTCAGTTGCTTCCTGCTCACTTCCTGACTTCCTGATGGGGGGCTTCCTGGGAACACCTCCCAATAAAGCACGGGCACTCCAATTCTTGTTTCAGGATAGAATCCAGCCGAAGCATTATACCGCACAATGTTAACAGACTTAATGATTTGGACAATTTGGTTTACAATCAAATGTTCAATTCACTAGCCAAGTCTTGTCTATTCAGCCTCCTTCTAATCTCTCTCTTCCACCCTACAGCCATTGCCTCAGCTGAGGCTCTTATGTACTGACTGATTTGTCGATTGATTGATTTTTGTCTGCACTCTAGTCTCTAACGGGTCTCCATGCTTCCAGTAACTCTATCGTCCAAACCATCACCACTTTACCTCCAAACCTGTTATCCTGAAATGCAGTCTGGTGATGCCAACCCTCCCCCCTTTTGTAAGCCTCCAGTGGGGCCCACTGCCTCCACGATTATGTCTTAACTTTGATAACACAATAGGTAAAAATCCTCAGAAGCTGGTTCCAACAAACCTTTCAAGACTAGTCTCCAGCGACTGTCAAACACAGCCAATGATCAGCTCACACAGAACAAATCAGTGCCTTTCCAATAGCCCTTTCACCTGCCACCTTGCTATGTGTTTAAAGGTGCTTGAGATCACCTATCTGAAGAACCTGGTTCACCTTCAAGGTCTGAGTCAAGGCCCCTGCTCCCTGAGGTCTTCTTCAAAGACCTGGGTTTTTTGGCTCATAAGTAGAATACACACCTATCACTCCTCAACTGCATCTTTCTGTAAACTGCTGCAAGGGAATACCCCATCTTTTTTCCTTAAAAAAAAAAAAATCTAAGTGCTTCTATGAGCACTTTTCAAAAGTGCTCGCTAACAGAAGAACCCAGGTATTGCCCTGCGTGTTTGTGTGTGTGTACACACGTTGCAGGTGTGTGTGTGTGTGTGTGTGTGTGTGCGCGCGCGCGCGCAGTGATCTGATCTTCTGTTAAGTCAGATCAAGAACCGAACCCCTTTCTGGTACTGAACTCTATTTTGGAGCCTCTTCCACGGCCCCAAACGGGTCGGGTGGTGAGAGTTAGCCATCATGAAATGCTCCTCGCGATCCTGGGTAAGCAGCATCTCTGGAGGTCCCAAGTGCAAAGACCTGGATCTGGATTCCTCAGGGCAGCCAGTGGGACTTCCAGTTTCCAGTTTCCCGTACCTCTCTGTCCTTCTAACCCGGACCAGTGGTTTGGGAAACAGCCGCGTTTCCCGTCAGTCCCCCGGCCCCCACACGTCGGTGGGAGAGGAGGCCACCTTGGGGCGGGGAGGCGTCCTCCAGGCCTAGACATTCATCTCTGTCCATTTCAAGGCGCCCAGCCCGCGCCGTATATAATGAAATATTGCGTCCACAGCGGAGGACAAGGCGTCCTCTCTATGTGTTTTATTCACGAGGTTTTTTTTTTTGGCAGATCTGGGTTCTGGGTTGTACGATCAAGAGCTTGGTGTGAAACTGGCTGAGAAGCGGGAGCTGAGGCTTTGCTCTGGCAGGACAGAGGAGGGCAGCGAGGCGGGGCGCGCGGCTCTTGGGAGGATTACGGCGGAGGCCGTGGACCGCGGCGCGGCTCGCAGAGGCTGCAGCCATTGCGCCGCCGAGCATCCCGCATTCAACAGGAGGAACCCGCGAGCGAGGGTCCCCGAGCCCCCAGCGCCGCAGCCGCCGCAGCCCGTGCGCCCCGCGCCCCCGCGCGCCATGGCCAAGGAAGGCGTGGAGAAGGCGGAGGAGACGGAGCAGATGATCGAAAAGGAGGCAGGCAAGGAGCCGGCCGAGGGCGGCGGCGGCGGCGGCTCTCACCGCCTCGGGGACGCCCAGGAGATGCGCGCCGTGGTGCTGGCCGGCTTCGGGGGGCTCAACAAGCTGCGGGTCACCAGGAAGGCCATGCCCGAGCCGCAGGACGGCGAGCTCAAGATCCGCGTCAAAGCCTGGTCCAGTATCCGCGCCTTTCTCGCTTTCTTTCTCTCTCTCTCTCTCTCTCTCTCTTTGCGCGCTCTCAGAGCTCCCGGGGAGCGGCTGGCAGAGCCTTGGCGGGCACGCTACTCGAGGGGAAGAGCCTCCCTGGGCGGCCCCCCGCGCGCCCTCACCGGCTCTCTGAGCCTCCCCCGCCGCCCCTTGGCCCGCCGATGCTGGGGAGGAGGCTGGCAGGCAAGCCCTCGTTCTCCCCAAGCCGGATCTGGGGGTGACCGGAGGAGACGGTGAGCTCTGGGGAGGGGAAGAGTGACCGGCGGCGCCCAGCGCTCAGGGTCTGGAAGATCGCGCCACGGGAGCTCTCCGTGGAGTAGGACAGCTCAGGGACCAGGAGAGGAAGGTCTGGTGCTAACATGGTTAGAAAATCATAACCGTCGACTCACTGCGTGCCTGCCGTCAGTTCTTAAAGAGTTTTACGTGTGCGATCTTATTTAATAGTTCCTGGGACCCAGAGAGTTAGGCATCATCGTTGTCCCCTTGTCACCGGTGCGGCAACCGGGGCTCAGAGAGTGGTTTGCCCAAGATCAGACGGCTGCCGCTAAGCGGCATGGCCAGGATTTGATATGGCATCTTTTTCGACCTCTCGGCAGTCGCCCCTTTGGGGCTGGAGTCAGAGAGCAGGGCTGGGGAAATGCGTCCCTCTTGCTCACCGCTGTACACTCCCTCCCTGTGGCCTCATACTGGGAGAGTAACTGGGGCGCATTTTAGGGACCCAGCATTTAAGTCCCCCAAGAGGTGAGGCCAAGGCTGCTACTTCCTCCCCGCTCTTGCCCACCAGCGCCTTCTGTGTTTCTCTGAAGAGGAAAAACAAGCGAACAAAACAGCTAAGTCTTCTAACTCCTGCTTCCATCTCCTGAGTCCCTTTCCTGTCCCCACCCCTCCCCGGGGAACGTCAGACCCTCACCAGGCTGGGATTCCTCCTGGAGTGTATAAACATCGCTTGTGCTATCACTGTATGGTCATTTCCCTGGAGGTCCAGGGAGAGGACTCACCCCCGAGGGCTCACTGGACCAGCGCTGTGAGTTGTATGCTGCAGCGTGGAAAGCTTTTCCGGGGAACTCTCTGTTAGCACCCTGAGATGGGCCCGTCCCTTCCCATCACCATTCTTTAAAGCCCCCAACAGACCCAGCTCCCTAAAAGCAGCAGCCAGCTCACCGCTTAGAACCCCCAAAATCAGCATCTGGGAACAGTCTAGAGGCAAGAAGAGTGCAGAGGGGCTTCCCCTCCGCTTCGCCACTTTGAAAGCAGGTGTGGGTTTCATTCTTCAGACTGGAAGGTGGCTGGAGAGAGGCAGGCACTGGTCTCTGGCTCACTTCTCACAGATGGGGCTGGGTGTGTTTAACTCTGAACACAGGGGCCTCTCCTAGGGGAATTCAGGTGGCAGAGGTGGCTTTGGCCAACTGGGGGATCCTATATAGTTCTATCTTGTTAACTCTTACTGAACCAAGCTGGCTGATCCAGAAGGCAGAGCGTGCCTCTGATACATGCTCACTGATAAATTCCCAATGTCCAGCCCAGAGCTTGGCACCCAGTGTATCTTGAATATGCTATTGCTGGATGGAAGGATGGGGGAAAGGTGCCTGGAGGGAGATTGTTGAGTCATTCTTTTTCTTCACTTGCTGGTGGAAGTATGTCTACCTAGTAAAATTAAAACCGTGTATTGATTCACTTTCCTTCCTCAAACACCAATCAAAAATATTACGTGTGTGTGGGGGCGTGTGTGTGTGTGTGTGTATGATTTATGACCCTCCATTCAAATTGAGGACTGGGTTCTAGGACTCTTTGTCAGAGTGTATATATAGAGAGTAAAAATGTTGAAGCTACTTTTTTGTTAAAAGATCATCATCTGCAGGTCAAATAGACCTGGGTTCTCCAGCCTTTTGCTTACTGCATAAATGTCAAGAGAACCTGAAGGGTTTGGAAATTATAAATGTCAGGATGAAGACTGGGAGATTGATTTTCAAAGCCAGACACAGAAGCCTGTTTTTCGCTGGAGCCGCACACACACACACACACACAGACACAGACACAGACACACACACACACACACACACACACACACACATTGAGTAGAATCGTCACAGATCCCCCCGCCCCAGTTGTTTAGAAAGCCAACAAGCCATGAGGGGTGGGAGATGATGCTGGACGGGGGGAGGGGAAACACTACTGCAAAGGGCCCAGGTTGATTTTCATTTCACCCAAGCTGGAAGCAGAGTTAATCGGTTTTGCAGGGAGGGATTGGAATAGGTTTGTGAGGATTACCTGCTGGGCCCTTCTTTCTCCACTGGGCTAGGATTGGCTGGGCAGAGATGCCCATTGATTGTAAGATTAGCCTTGGGAGCCAGGATGACTCATTCTGTAGTTTTATGAATCAGCTGATGGCCTCTTGGATGAAGGTTCTCCTCTTATCCATTCTCTCTCGGTTCTCTATTTTTAATGGAAACATTTTATCATCAAATAGGATATGCTTTTTGCTGGAAAATAAAGCACAGTCCATCTGAACTAGTATCACTCAGACCTGGAATGAGGGTCCGAGTTGACTACCGTATAAATTTTGTGGAAATGGAAGAGAGAAGGCAGGAGGAGATACATATTTTATCTCATTTCCCCCCCTCTCATATCTGGTCTAACACAGTAGGTATTACGGTAAAGCAAACTGAGGCTTGGAGATGTTGAGTAATTTGCTAAAAACACCACACAGGTAATGAAGCTAGGATTTTAATCCTAGTTTATTTCTCTTTAAAGCTCTGCTCTTTCCCTCTTATTTTGTCTCCCTTTGTTGCAAAGCCAGGAGAGATGTAGTTTACTCCTCCGGACCTTTGACACATAACCTTGTTTTCTTCCCTTTCTTCAGTGAATGTGGCTTTGATCTGTTGGCATGGGTGCTCGGTCACTTCAGTTGTGTCCGACTCTTTGCAACCCCATGGACTGTAGCTTGCCAGGCTTCTCTGTCCATGGGATTCTCCAGGCAAGAATACTGGAGTGGGTTGTCACACCCTCCTCCAGGGGACCTCCCTGACCCAGAGATGGAGCCCGCATCTCTTGTGTCTCCTGCATTGCTAGGCGGGTTCTTTATGTGCCACCTGGGAAGCCCTTCTCATCTGTTTGTGTCTGGCTTAAGGAAACATTCTCTGGCTGTCCCCAGAGTAATCCGGCGCTCTCCCTAAAGTAGAGGCTTGACGGTTAAACATGGCTCAGAAAGAACCACTGTGGGCTGTATGGGGTGGAAAGGGTAGCCCAGTCTTCCATTCGAATTGTTACCACAACATCATATTTGATAGGGAACCCATTTCATCAGCCATTCAGGGAACAATTTACACAGCAAGCGATTTAACTGGTCAAGTGGAAAACGCATGTGGCCTTTGGAGAAAGATAGATCTGTGTAACCTTGGTGAACATCTTTCTTAACTTCTCTAAGCTTTTCTTGCCTCGACTGCAAAATGGAGATAATAAGATGAACATTATAGTGTTCATCTTTCAAGAAAGAGATGGGCTCAAGGTTAGCACCAAGAACTGTGGTGCTGGAAAAGACTCTTGAGAGTCCCTTGGACACCGAAGAGATCAAACCAGTCAATCCTAAAGGAAATCAACGCTGAATATTCATTGGAAGGACTGATGCTAAAGGTGAAGCTCCAATCCTTTGGCCACTTGATGCGATGAGCCGACTCATCGGTAAAGATCCTGATGCTGGGAAGTATTGAGGGCAAGGGGAGAAAGGGGGCTGCGACAGAGGATGAGATGGTTGGATGGCATCACTGACTCAATGGACATGAGTTTGAGCAAACTCTGGGACATAGTGAAGGACAGGGAAGCCTGGCGTGCTGCAGTCCATGGGGTTGCAAAGAGACACGACTCAGCAACTGAATAATAACAACAACAAACAGTAGTTGTTGTAATTGGTGTCATGCTGATGCCTGTACAACATATTTGCTGGCAACTTGATGACTTGGAGGCCATCATTTTAATCCTGTATATAATAACACAGGAAATGTTACATCACATCTGCTTAGTGATGAAGAGTGAGACCTTCCTAGACATGAGCCTAGCTCAGCCCCCTGCTAACCAGCTATCCTAGGACTGGTCCCCTGGAGGCACAACCTGAGATAGGAATGCTGTTTGAAAAGGCTGATGTGGGGGGGGGTCCTTTCAGGAGAAGGGGAGCCCAGGAGCAGCATAGGGCAGGGGAAGGAGTGAAGCAAGGGTTGGGTCTCAACTGGATCCCTCCAGGAGTTCTAGAACATGAGTTGTACCAGAGTCAATCTGACCTTGTAGCAGTAGGGGGAGCCTTCTGGGCCCCCCACCCTGTCATCGGTGGGTTATGGGCTCTGGGCTGCTTCCTGAGTGGGGGTGTGGAGACTGTGCAACTCACAGAAGGGGGATCAGGGCTGCTCTGAGCTCCAACAGCCAACTGTCCCAGCCACTGGGGGACGGGTGCGCTGCTGGTGACAGAGGTCTGGGTGAGACGCCAACAGTGCCCTCTATACTGGCTGACCTTGACCCCGTCACTTGCCACTCTAAACGTGGGCTTCCCGGTCTATAGAATGGAATTAATAATAGCACCACCCTTCAGAGCCAAGCCAGTCAATCCTCAAGGAGATTAACCCTGAATATTCACTGGAAGGACTGGTACTGAAGCTCCAATACTTTGACCACCTGATGTGAAGAGCCGACTTGTTGGCAAAAACCCTGATGCTGGGAAAGACTGAAGGCAAAAGGAGAGGAGGGTGGCAAAGGATGAGGTGGTTCGATGGCATCACTGACTCAATGAACATGAATTTGAGCAAACTCCAGGAGTTGATGAAGGACAGGGGAGCCTGGCGTGCCATAGTCCATGGGGTTTTGAAGAGTCAGACACAACTTAACAACTGAACAACAACAACTGGAGAGTGTTGTAAGGGGGTTTCAATGCGACACGCTGCATCAGGACCTTTGTGGTGATGCCTGACACAGAGTAAGAGGT